AATGTGAAAAAAGCTTTTCGAGTTTTGACAAATGAGTGTGAACGTCGTGAATCATGAGCGATTATAAAGGCTGTGTTGTGGCATTCAGGACGGAGCAACATCGAGAAAAAAAAAAACACCAGCAACACCTGCGGGTTTCCCACAGATAAAAATGCGACAGGGTAGACCAATGAAGTAAATCGTAGGCGGAAAACGTAAGCGACACATACTAATTTAAAGACCAGTAGAAATGTGATGATTTTAGATCAATGAAAAGAAGACAGTGGGCGGAGTTGGATCAGGTCCGGCTCCATCCCTTTGGACCTGTGGTTCTGCAGCGAGTGATAGTTGTGGTGTGTGTAGGCAAGGTGTGGTTCAAGCTGGAGGAGGCTCTGTGACATTCTGGGGGTGTTTTAATTACGCGGAAATGGGTCCTTTGGTTGAGATGAAAGAGACCGAGACAAATTTGTTTGTTGCCAGCAGATCTTACCATAATCCAGCTGACTATGTAGGTTTTGGTACACTCTAAAAACAGATGTGCTAAAAAACAACACATTCTGTCTTTAACTAAACACATCGGTGTGTTCAGTTGGAGACAACACATTTTGAAACTGGAAATGTGTTAGTCATCATGCATCCCTCTGGATCTGACTCTTTGGAGAACTCCCCTGGAGATCACATAACTGTCACATCACCATTCACAGCCAATCGTTGTTCCCTTTCGCCTGAATACTAATCTGATACACATGTCTTTTTTGTCATATGACTTATGGTAGTTAGTATTTAAGCTCAGGCTTTAGTTTAGTTATTTGTAAGGTAAAAAGTCACAATCTGCTATGACAGTGCTTGAAAATGATCCACCACCCAGAGTAGTGCTCTGCGGGGGTCCTGACCATTAAAGAACAGGGTGAAAGAATGCTTACAACATATACATTGAAACAGATGGACTACAATCTGTATTTGTATAACTACAAAGTGTGCCTAATAAAATGGTAAAGGGACCTCATAAAATGGACAAAGAATATAGGTAACAGGATGTGTAAGCTACTTAATGAAGTGGCTGGTTGTACATGCAACACATAGCGGATCATGTTATAATCTGTCGATATGTTTTATTGTCACATCCTTCCCTTCTGTCATTTCCCAAGATACCTTTAAAAACATGTACATTGCATCTAAGTTACATCAACGCATCTTTGAGTGTGTGCATGCAAAGAAGCTTCGGGAGAAATCTGAGGTTTTAACAGTGAGTTGAGGTCTAAGCAATGTTATATACATTGCCTTGAAAAAACCTATAAAACAAGGCTGTGTTTCAGTGACCAGTAGGGTGAACTAGTCTACTACATTGCCACCTTGAAGCAGACCAGTGCTGCATCACTAGTTAGTTAAGAATTCCAAAGACAGAAGCTCGCTGACTGTAGGAGAAGCTACACAATCACATTTACACAACAATCACCTTTCCCTGAATTTGTCCAGAGACACCAATAACCTTCCAAGGTAACCTGAGCCCAAATAAATAATGTTAGAGGTTAACATTTGCTGTCTTGCTATTACAAGGTAACAGTTAAAGGCGTATGATTTGGGAGTAGTTTATTTGTTACTTTGGAGTAGTGCATTTCTGTCAAGGTGTCCGTGGTAGCCTGGTAGTAACAAATTTCACTGCTTAGTGCATTTGTTAATAATACATGACAATGTTTTAAGTCTTGTATTAAGTCTTGAATTTGTGCATGTGTAGAAAAGGACTCTGGAAAATGAATATGGAAAAGTTTGCAGGATATGTTCATCAAAAACAAATAGTCATAGCAGCACAGAAGAGTATCTGGGACAACTCACCATGCTGGAAATACATATCTCATAACTCTCTGTCTGGCTCCCAAGGACCTCCTCAGAAAAGGAAGTGGCAGGTGGAAGGACCAGAGGACCTGGAGCACGATCGACCAGCTATTGTAGGAAGAAGAATTTAAATAATTTCCATAAAAGTTAACCATTTTTTATATCTCTAATTTATATTTAAGTAGCTTTCACAGCATTATGGGAATATTACTGTTATGGGAATTTTTGTATAAAAATCACTGGACAAAAAATGAGGTGTTGTCACCACAAAAAGATAGAAAAGAAGTATAATAATAATAATATCTTTATCTATAGAGTACTTTTCATACCGGTGGCAGCTCAAAGTGCTTTAAAGACAGGTATTAATGTTTTACAGTAATAGACAAGACAATGACAAATCAAGTTAAAAAGAAATGCCAAAGAGATGTAGAATTTTAATTGACCGGTAAATTAAAGAGATAAGTTTTCAAATGTTTCTTAAATATGTGAACTGACCTTGACTGTCTAATAGAAGGTGCAAACAACTGCTGATTTAGATTTTATGTATAAAATGCAAACATCTGCTGATTTAGACTTGATATAACATTGGCCTATTGCTTACTAACGATTTAATATAGGCGATAATACCATCTTTTCTTTTTTTCATCTTTTTTTAAGTTGCGTATGATTTGGGAGTGGGGGCAGAGTTATTGCCCATGATACTGTGTGTGTGTGAATGGTGTCTTTTTCACTGGGCTCTGAAGGTTTCTTAAACATGTGAACTGAGCTTGATTGTCTAATAGACATTTCCACAGTTTAGAAACATAATAGCTAAAAGATGCCTTTCTATGTTTTCTGTATTTTACGGAACATATTTGCAGAAGGCCAGTATCTGCAAATCTAAGATCATGTGTTGGAACATAAGCAGACAGACATTCTGTGAGGGAGCCATGTGCTTGGTCATTGACAGCCATAAAAACTAGGAGCAGAATTTCAAAATCTATCCTGAAAGATACAGGAAGGTAGTGCAGTTCTTCCAAAATGGGAGTGATATGATCTCTCTTTTTTGTTCTTGATAAAATTTGTGTTGCTGCATTTTGTATGAGTTGCAGAGGATGTACTGTTTTCTTAGGAAGCCCAGTAAGAAGAGCATTACAGTTAGCAATTGTACTTGTAACAAAAGCATTCAGTTTCTCTGCATCTCTCTGATATAGAAAAAGCTGAAATAGCAATGTTTCTCAAATTATAAAAAGCTACTTTCGTGACTGCGTTTACATGCGGGTTAGGATTTCACCCAGGTTTTGTACTTCAGATTTGGTATATGAAGCTAAAGTACCAAGCTTCTCGTAAAGCATTTCTGTATTTGTGGAGATGATCCCTGAACGCAAATTAATGTACATTTTTAAATGGCAAAACTGGCCTATTCAGAATGTTCTTGTTTAGAGATTTTTACCCAAAAATTTTAATAACTGTAGCCCGCAGCTGGGTTAGTCTTATAAAAGCTCTGTAAAGCACCATGATGTGGAATATGATGCAACTTGAAATTACATCATATTCCAAATCACAGAGCTTTACAGAGAATTTATCAAACCCATTCTGGTGGTCTTTTTAAATAGAGATCTATAGACATGACAGATTGTTGATGCTGAAAACTGAATTTATTGTCTGCATTATTTTCTTTTCACTTTCTTGCAGCATGAATTCAAGTTGTGATACCATGTTTCTCCAGATGGGGACACTGTAAGGTCTTGCTGTGCTGTAAAGTAAAAAAAAGGATAACTTTCTGAATGAGTCCAGAGAACCATTTCAGTTTTTAAACTGAACCATTTGTGAAACATTTATTTGGGAAAATCAGGAATTGAAAAAAATTAAAACAGAAAAACAGAAAGTGTATGCTGTTTTGTAGCATACAGTTGTTGCTTAGTTTCTCTGACAACCAATACTGAAAGTTTTAATTAAAATTTCAACCATGGTTCTGAAATTGGGAGTTTATCTACAACTAATAATAAAATAATATAATACACGCAGTTGCTATTACTTGTCAGTTGTTCGGGAATTCAATAAGCATTTTTACAAAAGTGCCTTTGACTTTAGATTTTCTGAAGTAGTGGATTAGTATTCTGCTGTGGCAGCTAGATTACACAGCTGACATGAGATGATCTTCATACACTGTATAATTAAAGGACAACATAGACACTTTAATAAGCAATACATTGTACAGGTAAATTTAGTATGAACTGTTTACAAATGCAAATCAATTTGAATTATGAAGTGTATTGATTTCCAAATTTCATAAATGCTTTCCTAAAAATGTTGTGCTACTAAATTGACATCTATTTCGCTTCATCCATTTTGTATTGGGCTTAATGGTTTGAGAATAACAATGGCAATTATCTGTATTTATCATATGACTATCAGATCAACCCACCTTAAATTTAACATTTGTAAACTACATATCAATATAGTTGAACTTTGTTTTTTAGAATTAACACCCTTTGTAGACATTATGAAAGGCCAGAAAAAAAGTTGAAAAAACCTGTCTTGATGTATTATACATCAAACAAATTATTTTCAAAACAAAGAGCATAATCCTTTACAATTTTGCACAGATATTTTGGTTCTGATCAAGTTAACATGTATGACTATTATTCTTCGTGCTCCAAAAGGAGCACAAACAATAGGCCTACAAATATTAACAAATGATTAATGCTTTTAAGTTTTTAAGTTCATATCAGTACTAACTGCTGTTTCTTGCATTTTAGAGGCTTCGACTTCTAAAATATCGGGCTGTTGCTAAGTCTAGATGAAGGAAGCCAATTCCTTCCTAATATTAAAAAGAATCAGAAATGAATGTAACCATTATAAAGTATGGATTAGTCTGCACGAATCAGAGCCATGAAGCCTTTCAAACGTTAGGTTTTCCTAGGCCATATGTAAACAGAGATTTGGTCCTCCCTGCCATTGCGTCATCTCAGATGGCCTCCGTTCGCTTCATCATCACACACGTCACTTTCGCGCTGAGAGCAATAAATGTTAAATGTTGAACCTGTACGAAAACTGAACATGAATAGTGCATATAGCACTGATTGAGTGAATTGCAAACAGTTTTTGATTTAGACTTGATATGCCATTGCCCTACTGCTTACTAACGATTTAATAGAGTGGATAACGCCGTCTTTTCTTCTCTTTTTTCGTCTTTTTTAAGTTGTGTGTGATTTGGGGGTGGGGGCGGAGTTATTGCCCATAATACTGTGCGTGTGTGTGAATAGGGTCCTCACTGGGCTCCGAAGGTTCACACCACGTTTAGGACTACAGATGGATTTTAAACGCAGTTTGCAGCCAAGTCATTAATAATAATAATAATAAATATCGGCTGAGTGTTGCTAATATTACCTGACACTGAAATAATCTGCGCAGCTCCATGTAGTTTGTTTCGCGTGAACCGTCTTTCACTTCCTGTAATGTTGTCCAGCAGAACGAAAGCTCGGTGGTCGCCTGGTCTGAAGACGCACGACTACTACAACTACATCTGGGCAAGCGCGATTTGCAGGACCTTTTTCGCAGTCTCATTGAGGTAAGATAGCCCCTAGCGCTTTCATTGTTATTTTTGATTACTTTCAAGGCGCGAAACATTGGTTTCTGTCAAGGCTATTTATCTTTTGCAGGTTAAACCCAAATTACCATAAACAGCCAGACACTGCCCAAAACGACTTCACGTTAATCTGTTGCGCAGTGCTAGTTGTGAACTTGCCTATGTGTTAATTAGGTACATACCAATGATGGTATTTGTGATTTAGTATATACTGTTATTAACTGTTATTAATCAAGACTGAGTCCTGTTTTTGCCTGAAATAGAACCGGAACGCCTCCCTTTTTGCGAGTTTAAAATGCTTTCGTTGAGCGGAGTGTAATTGTTCGCTTTGGTTGCGGAGAGCGTGAGTAACTATGATTGTTATGCCGAACAGATAGATCTACGTTGAATAGATAAATAGATAGATGAATACTTTATTGATCCCGAAGGAAATTTGGCAGCCAGTAGCAGTCACACAACATAGGACAGTTATAATAATAAGGGTGATACAATACAAAAGGAATATACACAAAAACCTATCTATAGGCATATATACAACTAGAAATATACAAAAATATGCAATAAGATCTGTCCTGAGATAAAAAAGGCAGTGCAATAATGAATGTACAAGGAGGCGCAGGTAGCAGCATATAATGCTAATACTGAATAAATAGGTGCATATATTGGTACTGTAATAAGGTGTCTAGGTGTGGAGTAGTGTCCAGATGTACAAGATGTGCGATAAGGTGTGCAGAAGTGCAATATGTACAGTACGGTGTCCATATGTGCAGATAGATAAAATAAACCTATAATTTAGCATGAGACATTCAGACTGTTTCCCTGCAATTCCTATGGCCGTTTTATGCCATAATTAAAATGTAGAAATCATTGCCGTATTGTTATTGCCTTAGTATATTTACGTACCATGAATGCATTGCATATAGTTGGTTTGAGTTATGTAAACCGTCTAGCCGTCAAACAGACTGATGAATTTGCTGCTCTGGCTCGTCTGTTGATTATCTCATTTTCATCCACTTTATAGTGTGGAAGTGTTCTCTTTGGAGTAATGCCTGTGTATGAAATATAGTCTTCATAATTTTGAAGCACATGCCAGTTTTCTGTCTTTAAGAGACTTATTGAGGTAAACCTGTTCCTACAATTGTCCTTTAAAATGAAGTACCCTATGAGTAATGTAGGGTGGAGACAATGTAATTAAACTATAATGTGTTTGTTCACTCAAAGCCAGTGATCAATGAGTAAATGAATGAAACAACGTGTGCAAAACATTCCAAAAAAGTTGGGGCAGTAGCAGTTTAACACTAGCAACATTGTTAAATGTTCAGAGTGTTTTTTCAAAGGAGATATAAGGAACATCCAGGAAAGGCCTAGTCCTTTATGAGCAAGAATAGGTTGTGACCACTTTGCCAAAAAATGCATCAGAAAACCCACCAGTTGGAAAAACAACGTTCCTCAATGAGTGTTTGCTAATATGTATTTCACACTCTGTGGTGCATAACGTTATCAAAAGATTCAAAGAATCCAGAAGAAGCAAGATCAAAAACAACAACAACAGCTGAAATGCCCATGACCTTCAACCCCTCAGACACCACTGCATTAAAAATGGACATGCTTCTTTGATTGATATTTCCTCATGGGCTCAGGAACACTGTTGTCAATAAAATCACAAAAATCACAGCATCGACAAATGCAGGTTAAGACTCTACCATGAACAAGGAAGCCATGTGTCAACAATGTACAGAAACACTTCTTTGGACTTGGAGCTCATCATAAATGGACTGATGCGTAATGGCGTATTGTGATCTGCCGAGTGAGCCTTTTGGGTTGTTAATGGAAAAAATTTACGTCGTGTTCTCTGGATCGAAGAAGTAAATGACCATCTAGCCTAAAGTTAAAAAGCCAGGGTCTGTTGTGGTATGGGAGTGTTTTAGTGCCTATGGCATGGGTAACTTGCACATCTGTGGAGGCACAATTAATGCTGAAAGATGTATACACGTTTTGGAACAACATGTGCTACCTTTTACACCCTATTTCAACATGATGATGCCAAGAAACATTCAGCACATGACAACAGCATGGCTGCGTAATAAGACAGTGCATGTGCTAAACTAGCTTGCCTGTCTTCCATTGAACATGTGCTGCATTATGTATTGCAAAATATGAAAACAAAGGCCCTGTATGGATGCACAGCTGAAGACTTGTATAACAGAAAGAATGGCTAAAAATCAGCTTTCAAAACTTGATGAATTGTCTGCAGTCTCCAAACATTTACTAATTGATGTTTATGGAAAGGTGATGTAACACAGTAATAAACATGTTCCTCAACTTTTTTGGAATGTATTGCAGGCATCATGTTTGGAATGAGCATCTTTAGAAAATATGTTTACAAAATACATGCTAGGGTCAAGGGTGGAGTAGTTCAGGCTTGTCACTAATTAATCCTCAGAAAGTTGCAAACATGGATTTCTTTAATCTTTGAAGTTAAAGCAGTGTCTGCTAAGGCTGCAATACAATAGATATTTTAAAAGGAGTCATAAGTGTTACCAGATAAATCTTGCATCAGAAAGGAAAGAGTGTTTTCTGGGCCAAAATCAGGATTACGGTATGTGCAAGGATTATTATTTAGCATTAGGCTACTGTGTTTTCATGGCTCTAATACAGTGCTTCTTCTGAGTCACTACTAATTGCAAAATATGTAAAAAAAAAATAAATAAATAAATAAAATAATAATAATAATAACATTGATGCCCTTGTCTTTCCATAGCTGTCCACGCAGTTAGATATGTAGCTCTAGAAAAGAATTTTCACATTGTTCTAGTTTTGGCGCTCTAAAGCTTGAGCACCTCTTTGCTCTCTGGAACTTCAGTGCCTAACTGCCTTGCTGATTAATTTTCTTCCTTTGTCTGTAATATGTGTTATGGGTGATTTCAGGATAGAATGAAATCATGCTGTGCAGCTAGTATGGCTTTTAATAGCTAGTTCAGGCATTTTCTTGGTGAAAGATTTCTTGGCAAGAGTTACGTGAGCCTTTGCCAGAGTGGAATTGCTATAAAATTGCCAGTTCTAGGCCTCTTCCTTCTCATTCTCAATTATTAATAAATATTCATATAAATATTGATGTTGATATTGATATTTTAATTACTTAAAACCAGAGGTATTTTACAGTAACATATTCAGCATTAGTAGAACAGTTTTATTTGCATCAGAGATGTATAGACAAAAAATGCTCATGCAGGTAAAAAGTGCAGTTTTTGAAAATTTACGTTTATGTAACATTTACAGGGAGATTTACTCGAAAGAGGACACGAATATAATATAACTCTCATTAGGATGAAGCAATCTAAACCAAAAAATAGGCTACATACCTTGATGTGCTGCTCAATACTGTACACCACCATCCTGATAAGATGAAGGGGTACGGGGGTATACACCCAGAAGTTGCAAACGGAGGTTAAACGCCGCCTGCCTCATCGTTCCAATGCAGGGGCATCCCGGCTTGTTCGAAGCCCCATATACAGAGGAGCACATTGCACAATGTTTCGTTCAGATTGCTTCGTCGTAGAAAAAGTTATTACAGAATATTTGGGGCCTCTTTCAAGTGAATCTCCCTGTATGTTGTCTGTCACATCAGAACTACATTGTCATGCCTGCTCCTGTAGTTTGTTCACTCCTTTTAACATGTCTGTGTCTTTGAGTCACATAGGCTAAAAGAAAAGTGTTCATATTTGTTGCTACTATGAAGTGGTTTAAAAATTGTGTCCATCTTCATATCTGTAAAAAAACTGACTTGGTGTGAAAAGATCTCACTCAACTACAAACAAAAATACAACATCAGTCCTTTGTGTGGCTGCGAGAACACCAGCATGACATTTACTTTACAGGAGATAGAAAAGAAAGGGCAACAGTATGCCACCAAATTTTTCAGAGATAGGTGGGTGTAGTGCGTGAGTGATGGAAATGAACCTGTTAGCTTAGTCCTTAGTGAAATAGGCTACTTTTGCTTTCCTAATATAAGTTACTTAATATCTTAAAAGAAATTTGAGTGTTTACATTTCGCTCCGCCGCAAGCTATTCATACTAAATCAGTTGTCCCTGCACCTGCCTGGTGCCAGGCCCAACAGATGCGGCTTCAGGCTCAGCAGCCCTGTCTCCCCCTCCATCTCCAAACCACTACCAATGAACCAGCCCTGTCTCCCCATACCCCTACCAATGAACCAGACCCACTCCCGACTAAAGATGATGAGCATCATTGTGTTGAATGACAGGTCGGTTGGCATAATTGCAGGGGGTCTGTGGGAATTTCATCTTTGAACTGTCCTTTAGCACATTCTTAGAGAGGGTATCAGCCTTGCATCAAATAGTGAATTCCTCTGTATACAGAATGTTGCATGCTTGTCAGCACAGTGATTGTGAGGCCCAAAATGATATATTTTCATGGGGCACAAAATCCTTGATGGCACCCATGGTCCGAATACCAGAGGAGACGAGAGAAGCCTCTACAAATACCTACTAATGTGGCTTCTAACAGAGGATATTTCTGTTGTCGGAAGAAAACCTCATATCTCCATTTTTGTCGTTTTTCAGTTTTTGACATAATTTGAAAATAGCTGTTGCCCTTACATTGTGTGTAGATTTCATGATGAATGGACTTGATGACCCAAAATCACTTGGGTAAAAAAGTCTGGTTCCACTGACTTACATTGAAAGTAAAGTAGTTTTTTTCCTTCTCCTGTAAAGTTACCATTTTGGAGACACAAGGTTTTCTTCCGACAACAGCGATATACAAGTGTATGCTACCTGGGAAGTCTTTAACAACTTTTAAAGTGATGTCACTGCATGCATGCCCAGAGAGCACAGACAAACATGGAGCAATCCAGCTATACTTTCTATTCTGTGTTTTGTTTGTGTTACATACACCGATCAGGCATAACATTAGGACCACCTCCTTGTTTCTACGCTCATGTCCATTTTATCAGCTGCGCTTA